ACCCTCCCATAGCTTCCCTCCCCCCACTAAAGCCCTTATACTCTGATATCCCTGCTACTATCTGCTGTATTCTTGGTACCCCCAGCCATTCCCCACTACTTGTCCATCTGGTGAATCTAGTCAGCCTATCTAGAGGTCTTTGTTTTAGGAAGGTCAGCTATTCCTCATCTAGCAGCAATCAGTTGTCAATATTCCTTTAGATAAGATTGGGGTCTGCTGCAGCTGTTCCTCTTCTAGCAGTAATCAGTTGTCAATACTCCTCTAGATAAGATTGGGGTCTGCTATTCATTTTCTGAGTTCTATGTTGGGTTACTATCTGGGAGTCCCTTTGTCTACCCTGGCCAACAATGCAAAAGAAGGTATTTCCTCTCTGGCATTGTTGCTTGTTATGTAGCCTTTAGCTATGCATATGGACTCTTAAAAATTATATTGGCCCCTTTAATCTTTGCTTATACTTTCCTTTTTGGCGTTTAAGGCCATACAGTTGGCCCAGATAAACCGATTTATTTTTACTCTTAAGGTCATTTGAGGATCTGTTCCTCAGGGGTCACATGGGCTTGGGAGGAGCCCCCCAGTTCTGCCTATGTGAACATAAGTCAAAGGTCCTGCTCAACCATGGTTGGCTTTGCTTGGAAGCATAGAGGAAATGATTCCTCTGTGTTGACCCTCCTCTTTATAGACTGGACACTGGTTCAAGTCCATCTGGTGGGGCCTCCTCGGCCTTCTTGATCAAGAGGACAGGTGACCCACCACAATTACAGGACATTTTTGAGACATGCTCATAGTCCCCTGGAACTAGTCGATCTAGGAGGGCAAGGAAGGAAAAACTGTCCTTTATGTCCTTCTGACCAAATTGCTGTAGGCCTCAAAGTATGTCTGTTAAACATCCAAGAAGGTTAGTTCCACCAGTCTGGTACTTTTAATTACTGTGTGTTGTGTAGATAAATCTTGGGCAAAGACTAATTGTTCTCAGATAAACCTTACCTAGATATATATTTCTTGATCTGCTATGTATAATTTGTCAGTAGGTTGTAGGAGTAATATGGTTCCCTCTAGTTTTCAAAACTAGCTAGGCATTGTTTATCGCTCGCATTGGTATCGGCACTTAGAGCTATAAACTGGGTCTTAAAGTCCTGTAGTATTGTTTTTATGAAGTTGGGTGCACCAGAGTTTGGTGACTATATGTTCATGATTGTAATATCTTCTTGATTCATTGCTCCTTTGATCAAAATGAAGTGGCCCTCTTTGTCTCTTCTGATTAGTTTTAGTTTAAAGTCTATTTTGTCAGATATTAGAATTGCTATG